TGTGCTGTGCACACTGAGGAACAGAAAAGTGCCAACTCTCTCTTTCTGCCTCTACTAATGGAGGAATGCTCGCCTGTAATCCACCACCACCCGCTCGGTCTCACTGCTGTTGAGGGAGAGGTTATCTGGCTGTTGGTGAGCTTCGTGATAACAATGAAGGCGTGTGGCCTTGCTCAGAGTTACAGGGTCAAACATAGGACGAGCAGCACGAGAGGAAACAAGAAAAAAACTGATTCATGTAGTTTGTTTTTAAAGTTGACTCGGTTCTAAGAGTACACAAGCAGCTCTCATGTGATGGATAACTTTCACACTAAAATCCAATGACATCATAGCATTAAATTTCATTGAGGAGAAACTTTGCCCACTGTGCCCCAGGCCGAAGGAAATCGCCACAGTAGCCGTGTCTCAATTAAGAGCCCTGAACCTTCAGAGGATGTGGTCGTAGACCGCGAAGGCTGAAAGACGGTCTGGCCTACAGAGGATTTCTCCTTTGTGTCACCAGCTGATCCCTCCCTTACTGTTGCATCACAAAGCACCACTCTTGTCACATAGCAACCACAACACCACGTAACTTTTATTTACAAAAACAGAAATATAGGAATTTGTGGTCTATGGCAGTAAAACACTAACATGTGTTGTGCTATAGTTAATGAAGAGAGAAACAACAGGGTTTTCATTATCTGACGGTTTCCGACACAAACTGACATTTATCCAAAGCTATTTCAAACAACTTGCATTAAAATAAATATTGGACATCCGGAAACATTTAACATCTTTATTTACACCTTGGCACAAAAGAAATCGCTCACTTCTTACTTCATTAATTTGCTCGTGTCACATACACACTTCAAATGGCCAAGAGGCTTGTGGAATACTACACAGCTGTTGTTGTGTTTTGCTGGTGCTGCAGCAGCTAATAAACTCAATGTACAACTACAAAGAGGTTACCTCAGGGACCTCACTGAGAGAGGAAGAATGACCTCTTGGAAGAGGGATGAAGCCTATTTGTCCATTTTACAAACAAACAAACAAACAAACAAACAAATGCTATTCTTTTAGAAACTTTAAAGGCCCCATATTTTGAAGTGTTGATCCATAAGAAGATATATTTGTGGTTTTAAGAACCAAAACTGATCACAACATAGTTTTACATCTCCTCTCTCAGGTTTCTCTCGGGAGCTCTAGCATCAACAGGTGAGCCAATCAGAAGAGAGGAGGCTCTGAGTCTCTCTTACAGACATCACAAAGTAACAGAAGTCTTGACGGCTCGTTTTAAAGCTCAGTTTGTGAATACAGGCTGTGTGCATTTCTCTGTGGACTGAGCGCTTTGATACTTTCATAGTATTAATATAGAACCCAGACCTGCTTTATAATCAAACAACACATGCACATCTACCTTTATACAATATGGGACCTTTAAGTGACTTTTACACTTGAGTTCAATGTATAAAAAGAGCTGAAAAGCATAATGCAATTTTAACAAAGATATAATAATAATCCCATGCAGATGTTCTACCAGGAAGAACATCCAAAAGCAGCGAGGCTCTTTAACAGAACTGAAATCAGCTCAGATCTCCAGGACAAGAGCAACAGAAAAGCTAAAACAACATCCTGTCTGTAGGTGCCTGTATTCAAAGTGCACGCTTTTATTTTGTCACTTTATTCTTAACCACATATGTAATAGTCCCTGTTTGCACACGTTAACAGATATCTATGTAAGCTTTCTTCACAACTTTGCCGCTTTTATCAAGATCCACATTCGTCTTGACAATAAAAAAATAATCATGATCATGTTACTTATTCGGACTCTGCTTGAGACCAGGGAAACAAAAGCCGCTGCCAAACTGAGACCAAACCAGTCACCTCTGTTTCATCTGTGTAGTCCAGAAAGTCATCAGAACAACACCAGCCTTCATGACGTCATTTTGTTGGAATCTAAATTTGATTTAAAAGGATTCGATTTTGATATTGTTTTCATGTTCCCCTCAGACTTCTTCAAAAGTCTGATGATAAAGTGGTGCCGTGAGGTCAATGATTAGTATTTCACTTTACCAATAAACAGGCACAGACAGATACGACTCTCTCATTTGCAATATGAAATACAGCCCCGGAAAAAACTTTAACAGACAAATACACACTTATGCACATACACACACACACACACACACACCCACTCACACAAACACAGTTGCAATCCTTCCATTAAATTGTTAATTGAATTGCAATTGTGAAAGTCAACTGTGTCTCAAAATACTCAAAGGCTTCACACTGCAGTTACTTTTGAGACACGCATGCACACACACGCATGCGCACACACACACACACACACACACAGAATTCTATTTCAGTATCCTCTTCTTCAGGCTATATGAAGCTTTGCAATGTGTGCATGAATGTGTGTGTGTGTGTGTGTGTGTGTGTGTGTGTGTGTGTGTGTGTGTGTGCGCGTGCATGTGTGTGTGTACCCAGCATTGCTCTGTGACTCAGAAATCACAGAGGGGAGGGGTCAGGGCATGAGGCAGCGCTCGCAAGAACACGTGCATGCTCAATGGTACTCTGCACTGTGTGCACACACACGCACATGCGCACAAACACAAAGCAACAATCCCCTGTTGATGTCACATATTGAGGCGTCCTGAGCTGTCCTCTGCTTTCTGTGCCTCCATCTGCCCTCACTGCTCCTAATCCAGCTCTCTCCACTGCACTAATCCACACACACACACGCACGAACACACGCACACACATGCACGCACGCATGCATGCACACACACACGCACGCACGCACGCACACACACACGCACGAACACACGCACACACACACACACGCACACACACACACACACGCGTGTCTATAGCTGCATAAACATGCACATTAACACACAAACATCTCAGAACAGATTGATACACCTTCATACACACATTTACATTCATGTTCAATAATGCAAACCCATCTGCTCACACACACACACACACACACACACACACACACACACACACACACACACACACACACACACACACACACACACTAGACAGGCCTCTGCCAAAGCCCAATTATCTCCACAGTTAGATGCTACTTTGACATTGTGCCAGCCACATTGCACACTACCTGCATGAGGGTAACCATGGCGATGGTTACAACAAAGGTCAAGTTGTCATCAAAGTCAATACTTCTGGTTCTGCTAAAAGCATTCATGTGCACGCAGCATGTTTTGGTATGAGGAGAAAACCGAAAGCTTTGGCCTGATGTTAGTGCGAGGTGAAAGGTTATAATTTCAGACAGTGAATTCCACGCCACTGCGGCCTTCGGCTTTCGAGGTTCAGCACGCCAATGTAAAAATACGGTGGTATGCACAACAACTTTTCTTTTCTGTTTTTCATGCAAAAGTTGGATAAGAGTGGAAATGTGGTTTGGCTCACTGTTTACACAAAAGACCCCGACAAAATCTGTAGAATCAACAACAACAGCTCGACAAACTTCACTTTCCAACTGCATTCTTGTACACCATCTTCAGGACAAGACTGTACAACATAACAGCAACATTATCAGCAACAATAATACTGTAGTTTCACGTTATACAATACATATATATAATACAAGACATATCATGAGTGAAATAATCAGTAAACACCATGACTGAGTATTTCCACTTTGACCTGCAGTGAACCAATGACAGTCTCATACAAACAGATCCAGACAGCCAACCTTGTCAGCACAGAGAGCGAGAGTTTGCATTAGCACAGCTGCTAACACTCTGTCAACCACTGAGGGTTACAAGCTAACAAACAACATAAACAAATAAAAGATTCTAACTACACTAACCATTCTGATACGTCTGCTAGTCTCAGATTTCGGTCACAACAGATTCAGAGTGTGAGTCTCTCTGATGTTTCCTCCTCTAACCATCTTGATACTTTCTGCTCTTTCACCTGTCAACATGGAGTAAGCAGCAGTGGTGGGCGGGGCACAAGCTCTGATCCCAAATTTCTCCATGAGGAAGTAAGAGTAGATGTGCTTCCAGCCCCAGTTTTCCTTTTATTTATTTTTTTACTTTTTATGTGGGAAAACCATGTTAAAGAAAATATTAATCATAACAGAGGATTAACCAAGAGGGTGTGTGATATCTTCAGTGTGAGGATAATACACTGAACATGGTGCAATGTGTCCGCTAATAAACTTTATGTATTTTTATTTTATTATAATTTAATATTTAAAACTGTTTTTTTTGTCCTCATCTGAGTATGTTATCCTTCTCTCTTGTCATTACTTGTGTGTGGTCGTCGTTGAATTCATCATAGTTTTAAGTTTTGGCAGAAGTTTTGTTTATTGTGAAAACAATAAACTATTTATCATAAAAAATAAAAATTTTGGGATAAAATATGGGATTTAACTTGCGCTGCGAATCTGCATTTGCTTCTTCATCGGCTCTGAACTCAGACTCAGAATTTAATGAGTGTGTGTGTGTGTGTGTGTCTGCACGTGCTGGAGAAACAGAGAGGGCACAGATGGCAGCGTGACGGCGTGTTCTGCCACCCCCGTTACCTCTTTGAGAAATACACCCCCCCCCCAAACTGCACTTATTAAGTATTATTATTATTAGTCATATTCTCTTTTTCCTTTCATTAAATCATCACGCCAAATTTATCCTGAAAACACGGTCGTGTCAGGAATGTGAGAACAAATCATTTGAATATCTACTTTGGAAAAAACAAAAAAAAGTTGTTGATGTACCTCTCTATCCTTCATCCATCCATCAATCCATCCATCCATCTACGCCTGCAGCTATTCTTTCATCTGTCACTTCTGTCAAATCACTGTTAATCTGCGCTTTCCTTTCATGTTTACATCAAAGATGAATACATGCACACACACACGTGCACACACACAAACACATGCACACACACACACACACACACACACACACACACACACACACACACACACACACAGGCAGTACAATCCATCACATTCCATTCAACACACACACAAACCCTCTCACCCTTTCTCCTCCCCCTCCGAGGAGTTGCTATCCTGCTTGTTGGACATTGGCTCCATTCAGCCTCGGTACCGTCCAGCGGCCAATCACAGGACAACGAGGCGGACCCCGACCTCGCCAGCCTGCTTAGCATTCGCCGGCGGCCCCTTCAGTAGACAGCCATCTGAGAATCTGGGCAGTGATTGGCTGGGAGGAGCAGGGTGGGCGAGGTGTCAGCTGAAGCAATAGAAAGCTGTAGGGGCAGAAAGAGAAGACACAGAAACATGGTGACATTAGCATTACATTTTGAATGCACATCATTATGTAACATTTCAAACGTAGTTTCTACACTTATTATAAATATACACCACGTCAGTCCTGCATATTTACATGCAACCGTGTCAGTACTCACAGTTTATACACATTATCTAAATAACAATTGTTTTTTCTCCAGATTTTATTCTAGGACATTTGTTTGTGTTCATCTCATCGTGTCGTCACAAGGTTGGATTTAATGGTAAAGGGAGGACTTTCATTATATTAGCTTTCAGCTAAGTAAACCTTTCTGTGCTCTCCTGAGAAGGAGCCACTGGATGGAGATGACATCACAGGAAAACTTTTCATAGTGGGATTGTTACTGTTATTGTTCCTTCCAGGGTCCATAAGAAATGAATTACTACAGCAATTTCATGTGGATATTATGTGTGTAAATTATGTAAAAATGTAAGTGAAGGTAGTATTATATACAGTACATGTGCATATATGTATGCACTTACTGTACCAGTCAAAAGTTGGACACACTCACAAGGTGTCTTAATTTTCTTAATATTTTTAACAAATTATTGAAATAGTTAGAAATATCAGCCAGTTTTCTTTGGAACATAACATTTTATTACTTTACTCATTATATTATTCAATGTTTTCCATAATTTCTTTATCATTTTATATTTAATTTATTTTGTTTTGATAGAACCTTTTCTATTACCTTTATCACTGGGCAATATTTCTGATTAAGTTTCTCATCTAGCCAGAGACTTTTAACTGATCTGACTGTCACTGACTGTCACAGTGGGTCTAAAATAACATGAAATGTTCTGACGTACTGTATGTGTTCATAAATCGCAACTGAACTACATTTTCCCCTGTTTTCCCAGAAATTTGTGTGCAACCTTTTAAAGACCTGGAACTTACACAAAAACATTAAATGTGCTTCTCAGATTGTCCAGCGCTGCTGCTTATAATGTCTGACTATAAGAAAGAGAGTCTGCAGCAACGCTAGTAGGTCTGTGAGGCTGCTAACATGCTTGCAGTAGCAATGCTTGCTAACATGTTGATATATATGTTTTGTTGATATATTTTGGTATGATTTTTACCATGTTCACCATCTCAGCTTAGCATGTTAGCATGTTAGCATGCTAACATTTGCCAATCAGCATTAAATACAAAGTACAGCTGAGACTTTGGGGAATATCTGTAGTATCTGTGTTCCAATAAACTACCAATGTTTATTTATTTATTGTTGCGTTTTAGTCATACCATACCTATTCAATTATTTATATATTTTTCCTCAATTTTGCATTTTTTTAAATTGATGTTTAAATCCCTTTTCATCCTCCATACCTCTGACCTAGAGGCTGAGTTACACAGAACTGCCCTGCTCAGTGGAACACAAACACTCGACAGGCTTAGCCCAGTATTTGTAGAAGATAAAGAAGCTCAGTATGTTTGGTGGTTTTGCTGAGTTTGTGAACAGTCTTCGAAATTCAATAGACAAGACATTATGAGTGGCGCTGTGATACACTGGCCACCTGTCCAGGGTGTATCACGCCTCTGGTAAAGTTAATGGATGGGCTTTTGTTTGTTAGACACAAATGTCTCCACTGTATTTATAGATGTTGTTTACCTTTGATCAGCTGTGAAGGGATTTCTTCAGTTCAGACTGAGAAATCTTTTTCACATGTGAAAACCTGCTCTGAAAGAGACTGAAACCAAACTGAAAGGCACAACACTCCAGAGGTCAGACCCTTTACACAGATTCATCCTTTAAAAGACTTCATAGTGGCTCCCCCTCTTTCACAATGCAGCCTCTATGTTCACTGTGCTCTGGTCACCGCTACAATCCTGGATCTATTGACTCCAGCCAAATCTAATTTACAATAAGCTACTTACAAGTCCTCTGAAAGGAATTTAGGATAAATTGTATTCAACAATTTTCATGTTGTTTTGTCAGCTTGTTATTCCCTCTTTATGGTTAAAGTTCATAGTCACAGCAAGTAGACCTCGCAGACACACAGTAAAGGCAAATGTAGGCTTGTCTGCCAAGTTGTCGCGGTTTCAACACACGGTCAATTTTAACTGTGAAATAAAAAAACATTTATGCTCTGATTTTGCAGCCTCGCCAAGAAAGATGAATAAATAGCCTATTCATGAATGACTGAATAAATAAAAGACAGAAGGTTGGGTGGGAGTGGGGGAAATAGGATAAATAAAAAAAAAGGCCAGATATAACAATAAATTCTAAACATATTAGGGGACTTCTCTCTGTCTTGTCAGGAACTCACTCTTAACACATGCAAACCATCGCATTTGATTTGGACTGCACATCCATTTTTTCATGGTCCCCAGAGGATACTGACTTTGGCGATCGCCAGACTTTCCTATAGCACGGCCATAATGTGAAGTGAAATGTCTTGACAACCGTCAGATATATCGCTCATAGAATTCTTTGCAGACATCTATGTCTCCCTCAAGATAAATTATAACAACTTTTGCTCGTCTCCTGCACCATCAGGTCAATATTTTCATTTGTCCAACACTTTGGTTTATGACCAAATACTGCAGCTTTTTCCATCAGCCTCAGATGTACTTTGTGTTTAGTGCTAATTAACAAATGTTAGCATGCTAACACGCTAAACAAGGGCTTTAAATATGTAAACATTACACCTGGGAAATATCAGAGTGTTAGCATTGTCATTGTGAGCATGTTAGCAGCCTCACACAGGTTTTCAAAAGTTCAAAAACTGCACATAAATGTTGAGCAAGTAAATATTTTGAGCATGTGTGTTAAACTTCACGGATACACACAGTATGTTCTGGAAAGAAACACTGAATGTAAACACGTGTTTGTTTGTTTTTTGTTAAGCCTACAAGAAAACTTCCTGTGGCCACCTTTAACAGAAAAGCATCTTTATTAATAAGGTGCAGCAGTAAAAGTGGAAGCAAACAATAACAGCTTTGTGAGCTCTTTGTTGATACTATTTATTGGTTGGTATTTTTTTTTTTTCAGCAATTCAATGTATTTCCATTTTCTAATTGAATCTTTATTGTTAGGCTGCTATATATGTGGTATGTCAGATCACAAATACTGTGGCACCTTTATTTCAGAGGTTAAAAAATCTTTTTTTCCCCCAGATATTTTTTATTGCTCAGATTCAGGTTGAATGAGAAAAACAGTTCACTCACAGCTCAGAACAGCAGCATGGTTGTTAGTGCTAACTGAGCATGAATCACATCACATTTATTAATTAACCTACATCATTGGGGAAGACTACTACTACTGCCAAAACATTTTCATTTTCATTTCTATTTTGAGCCAATAAACACGTGTATCTACTTTCTTACGTTCTCTTACACTGTCCACAGAGTGAAACGAGGTGGAATATCCCTTTAAATTTTGCAATACCATGCTATAAAACCATCACTCACCCTTACTCTTTATAGAGAAATCTTTATTGCTACTGGTGAAGTCAGTCTTGGATTCAAGTTGTTTACCCACAAAGACACAAACAATAAATAAATGATGTAATGTGAGTCCAGTATTGTTGACGATTGGTTTACACCGACTATAATCCTGCCGCTACTTCTACTAACACTGTTGAAGTGACTGCAGTACAGCTACACTTGCTTTTGGAGCTGATGCCAATTTATATTTAAGGATATAAGAATAACTACACCCCTCCTAAATATCCCACATGTGCTGCATGCTCTGTCCACGCCGCGCCGCGTGCAGCGCTTAACGTTGCATTACAATGTAACGCGATACTTCATCAAAGTCCAGCAGACCACACCTGACCAGCCCATCTGTGAAGGCTCGTCAAAGACTGGCAGTGACTCAACAATCAATATTTGTCTTTACACCATGACCACAGTGAAGGCTGGAGGGTGTGAGCGACTTCCTGACATCCTCATTAATGAAATCAAATCAAATCAAATCAAATCAAACAAAACTGCTTCTCCTGGCAGGCTGAACATGTTGGTGCTCATCGGACAGGCTGTTAACACTTGTTACACCAGTGATGTTTTCCCAAAGTTTGACAGAAATAATGCCCTCCTGGTTATTAATCATTATTAACTGTGTCATGTTTCAGTGACTGCAGGGTTCACAGTGGATAATCCTGCTAACAGCGTGGACACTTGCCAAAGATTAAAATATTACTGTCTATTCATAGTTTGTGGCAACGCTGACGATCCTTTTGGAGAGCTACTGCACGCGTGACAAAAAAAGAAACGGTTAAATTTATCAATTAACTACCTCTGTTACTTTAAACTATAATACTATGATGAAACTTTATTGTAATATAAGTAATAATAAAGACGCCTTTCACTCTACATGTGTGAATAAAACCACGAACCCATCACACCTCTGCTGTGTGCGTGTTACCGGACAGTACCAGATGAGGGCGCCAGAGTCACCACAACACTGGTGGTGTGGATATAAATGTGACCTGAGCTGACCTGGTTCCTGCACAGGGCCTGGCTGTTACAGGCTGTCCACATATATCATATCATTTCACGCCAATCTAAATATATACACAAGATTTGATGTGTATATTTGTTTTTATACAACTATGTACTGTATGTGCATGAGTTACACTGCCATGGTTCAGACTCAGAGTTCAAAGGGTTTGGGTCGTTAAGGTCATAATGTCTGACTGTAATCATGCAATATTTCACTTCTTGACATAAACATTTATTTTCAATAAAAATCAATAGTTTAAAGATATTTTTTCTCATTTTTGCAAATTGTTAGCTACTAATGTTTCTTGCATTTTGGATTAAATACAACTCTGAAATACAGACT